GCAACAAAAAAGCCGTCCCAAACGAAGCCTAAGGGTTCGGTTGTGACTTTTTCAGCTTCTTATAAAAGTAATCGTGAAGCTACTATGAAGAAATTAGTTTTTTTTCTTTTTAAGATACTGTAGAAACCAACTTTGTTGCACAAAGATTTATTAAAAACATTCGCCAAATAAAAATTATGATTTTATTCTGAAAATAAAATAATAAAAAAGCCATCCCAAATAAATCCTAAAATATAACAGTAATTTCGGTTCAGATTAATTATTTTCATTCACTAATTTGAAAGAAAAAATAAAACAAAACAAAACAAAACTTATAAGAAAAACATGGCAGTAGCAGCACCACTAAGCACAGGCTTCCAATTAACATTTGGGTTGGACCAGCCCACTACGGCTATAAATCTGGCTACTGTGATCGGCCCACAATTGGCCCATCGGTCAAGGTCAGCGTTTGTTTTTTTACTTCTTATAAGAATGAAATAGGAGAGATAGAGAACGACCGGTGGCTGATCTTTGAGCTCTTTAACTATCCACCAAAAACTTTTGAATACGAAGTTTGACTTTAAGAAAGAGAGAAAATAATTATAATTCAAATAATTATTATAATAAATTGATAAAGTGAATGAAAAAATGTAAGAAAAATAATAAAAATTCTCTCAATATAAAAAAAGTGAGACATTATTTTTAATTATTTTTTAATTGATCCGCCTCACAAGCTAGCGAAACGAGTCGGAGCTAGCTCAACTGCTCAAGCATATGTCCTTATCTTGAATTTGATTCATGAGCCATTTATTGAGCTGAGCCCGAACAGACTCATGAGTTACCTCTTCTCAAATCGAGCAATTGTCCGGCCCTCCAACTGACGGAAAAAAAATTTATTTTCACCCATAGGCCCATGGATGCTAAATTTTAATTATAAAAAAAAATCAAATAGCTTAGTTCCTGTTCTAGATTTATTATTTAGTATCATAATCTGGTGAAAAAAATATTATTATTAATTTTTAATTACAAATTTGTGTCATATTTTTATGACTTGTTACTCTTTATCTAAAAAAATTATAATAATGATAAGTAATTTTATTGACTTGTACTTTGTCCTTTACAAATGAACGTATGATATCATTAAAATGTATGAGAGAATCACATATCTATAAATTTAATAATTAGCCCATTTGAATTGCACAAATAATGAATGGAAATGCCAAATTCATAATTAAAAATATTGTTTGGACATTGTGAGAAAGAGTGAATCTTTTAATATTTTTAATATCAATAAACCATTCAATTATTTATGCGTTATTAAATTCAAAAGCTTAGGTATCCAATCTATTTCACCCTAAAAAGAGAGCTCTTTGCATCAGCAATTTTAAATTTAGGGGCGGAACTGGCCTTTGTTTTGAGGGTGAGCAAAATATAATTGTGAAATCCATGGAAAAGAAATATTTTTTAGCAATTGCATTATTGAAGGTGAACAAAATAATTAAAATACTTATTCTTCTTTACGGACAATTGTCCAAATTGTCCACCTTAAGCTTATCCTGATTCCACCCCTGATCGACATCACTTTTTTGTCAAACGAATATTTCTCAAAATTATTAGATATCTTACTGACCAAGTGAATATTGTTTAATCAAAATAAAATACAACTACTAATCTTATAAATCATATAAACAGCTTGATTCCACTCTAATATTTGGCTATGATATTAGGCTTTGTTTGGGACGACTTTCTTTCTGTTTCTTAAAGCAATTTTCTATTACTATTTTTTTTTATATTAAAAAACTGTTTGAAGAATCAATAAGAAAGTTATCCCAAATGAAGCCCTAATCATTAAAAAAACTCAAAGAATCACTATAAATAGTACAAACTACTTGATATTTCCTTAACATTTAGCTTACATTTCAATTATAAAAAAAACTTAAATCAAAAGTAAAATATCTAAATCTCTAAAAAATAGTAAAATAATTAATATTCCTACATCACTAAATATTTTAAAATTAAACTCAAAATCTCACATAACCTATTTGGATCCATGCTATAATGTTTTTTATTGTTACCCATATATTTTGGCTAGTTGTACCTCTTCTCCTACGGTTGCCTGCCTTTGGCTCCCCCTTGGATTCCAATTCCTGAAGGCAGGCAGTCATCTTCCATCGCATTCATAGTTCTTATCCTTTTCTCATCACCATAGGGTTCAGCATGTGCTACTGATGGGAATCAGGATGGCATTATTTTATGATATCTTTAATTTGTATGTTTTTATCATATGACCAATATTTAAAAATTTATGTTTTATTTAGGACAGTTTTTGTACTGCTTTTTTTCTAATACAAAAATTTCAAATTCAAGAAATTTTTGTACTAAAAAGCTATTTTAGAAGGCAAGAAAAAAGTCGTCCCAAACGAAGGCTCAGTTTCATTAAAATATTACAAATACATTGCCAAGTTTTGATCAACTGGCATAGGACATGAGATTTTTTATATGAAAAATCAGAAGGCCGAGTTTAATTTAAATGATTTCAATAGTTTGTGTCGAGAATTATAAATGATGCTCTTTCTTATGACAAGAGGTGAGCGAGATGCAAAAAAACATGAATCATAAAGAAATCTTGTGAGGTTGCAATAAGAAAGTATTGTTGAATCAGAGTTTTTTACTTAGTGATGATTGACAATAAGCTTAATCGAAGACTGAGTGTTTGAAAAAATGTATCAATAAAGTGTTGACGGAGGAATTGATAGAGGCATTGACTAGGTCGTCGAAATAGGCATCAATGAAGGAATTGATGAAGGTTGTTGACGGAGATATTGATGAAGAGCATTAATAGAGATATCAACAATTACTGTTGATTGAGGATTTTTTGGAGCATTTCAATGGGCGGTATCAATAGAACATGTCGATAAAGCTTATTGGTGGGAGCATTTATGTAGTTTATCCATAGAAGCTTCGACATGGGGTATCACCAATAGTGTCAATCGAGGGTATTAGCATCTATTGAAATTGATTTAGAGCATCAAAGATGATATTAGAGGAGAGCATCAATGCAGAACATTAACAGAGTAGTTGAAGCAGACGTCCATAATTGGTGCCAACATAGGGATCATTAGCAGAGGTGTTGATGTAGAAACTAATGGATTAATCTTTAAAGATGATCTTGATGGTGGAGGATTGTCCATGGATACATGAGTGATAGATTGGTTCTTTGAAAAGGATATCATCAATCAAACAATCATTAACATATATCTCACCGATGTGATGATTATTGAGGGATACATAAAGAATTATGTTGGTAGATAGCATAATTGACATTAATATTGTGCATGAAGCTTTCATTGTCGTAGATGTAAAATATCAGTCATTAGTAAGAGCTAAAACGACTCGTTTTGAAATCCGAACCCGACTCGTTTTGAAATCGGGTCGGGTCCAACCCGGATTTTTCGGGTCGGGTCCGGGTCGGATTTTCGTGTCGTGTCAAATATTAACACCCCTAGATATTAGTAGTTAATAGATGTAAAATATCAGTCATTAGTAAGAGCTAAAACGAAAAGAATATGAAAATGATATAAAAATTGATTTGGATTAGTTTTCCTGTGATTTCTTGATGAATGATAATTTTTTTTCCTTTGCATGAAAGAAGGACCCAAAGCTTAGTTCTAAAGGGTCAAATTGATCTTGGGGATGACAATGAGGGATGAAGTGAGCAAATGACCAATAGAGCAAGTGAAAAACAAAACACTCACTAAGGCTTCATTTGGGACGGCTTTTATTAGTAGCTTTTTAGTTTAAAAAAATTATTTTTTGTACTAAAAAGCTGATTTAAGAAGCAGTAAGAAAATCGTTCCAGACGAAACCTAAGTAGATTAACATTAGCTGAAAAATAGCTCCAACTCGAGCTCATTATTACCTTTATTTCAAGCCATTTCTTGTCTAGAATTGATCTTTAATAAATTGCAATTGTGTCATTTTAGAATGGGGACCAAGCTCTAATGGGGAATAAAAAAGAATAGAATTTATGTCTATCTATTTCATGGCGAAGCATCCAAAGCATAACTGTGCACTAACACGATTTTTGCAAAGAGAAAACAAGGGTACTGGAAATTTAGATAGTTTGATGATTGTATTATTCGATTCATTATTCATAGATCTAATTATCTTGTCATAGATGTATCGTTGCGAATGTGTATTAGGCTTTGTTTGGGACGACTTTCTCAATGCTTCTTAAAACAGTTTTTTAATACAAAAATTTTAAAAAGTTGTACTAAAAATATACTTTAAGAAGAAATAAGAAAGCTGTCCCAAATGAAGTCTTGGGCTTCGTGTGGGGCGACTTTTTTAGTGCTTCTTAAAGCATTTTTTTAGTAAAATAATTAAAAAATTTATACTAGAAAGCCGTCCAAACGAAGCCGTAGTCTCCAATGGTTTAAGAAGTGGGTTTTTTTTTTAGGTTGGATGTATACTCCGATAAGTGTTTGGGAATTGTTTGGATCTTGATTTTTTTTTTTTGGGTTTAGGATTTAGGGTTGATATTAGTCATTTTTTTTCCTTCATCAATCAGAGTTCAAAACACACCAAATAATGAATCATAAAAAAGAAAGAAAAAAATATCTGTTTAAATTTCTCGAATATTTTATATTCAAATTACCCTATACTTTTGAACCAAACGCAGCTTTCATTCCAAATATGACGACGCGGTTTGATTTTCGCAGATTGCGTCCAGCAAATCTGAGCTATTAAATAACGGTTGCTAGGGTTTTCCATCACAAAGGCCCTTTATTTTGTTCAGCACTCTCTGTCTGTCCACTGCAGCCCACATCGGAACCCTATCTCTCACCAACTCGCTCCGCCTTCCACTTTTCGGTAGAGGGGAAGATCTCAGCCATGAGGAAGATTGGCGCCGATCCTCCAATGTCCTTTGGAGGAGAAATTATTCTGTGCGGACACCGTAAAATATCTTGGCTCTTTCACCGACTGTACGGTGCAGTTGACGATGAATAGTTGCGCTCTCACCAACTCGCTCCGCCTTCCACTTTTCGGTAGAGGGGAAGATCTCAGCCATGAGGAAGATTGGCGCCGATCCTCCAATGTCCTTTGGAGGAGAAATTATTCTATGCGGACACCGTAAAATATCTTGGCCCTTTAACCGACTGTACGGTGCAGTTGACGATGAATAGTTGCGCCGTCGATAGGATCGGGGAGTCGAATATTTTTCTTGCGGGGAAAGTGGGTTGGAGATGTTATAGGAGGATCAGGGGACTGCAGTTCTGGACGATTCCGCGAGGTGAGGTGCTGATGAACGAGCCGCGGGGACGGAGGATACATGGTCGTCGGATTTCTTGCTTCGGAGTGTAGCGGGGATGGTCGTCAGGTGGTTGGCGAGACTGAACTCGGCACTCGTGTTGATGCGGATTAGGTCGATGTCAAATTTCTGTTGGCCTTTACATTTTCCTCTTCGTATTTTATGTAGAGTAATAATGCCCACTGGCCACTTCCTAGAGTTTGCTGGATCTGTCATTATATGCACATGATAACTGAAGGTAGTGATCTGTCATAGTTTGCGGGATCTTTTCATTTTCTGTTTTTGTTCTTTCTCAGGGAACTTTACGCTGAGGGATGGAGGACGAGGGGAGGCGTTAATGGTGTTTTTGGTCAATTTGGTGCCGGCAACAACTGCTTGCTGGGTATGTCATGAATGTTGTCCACAAGGAGACCGAGAACTTCGAGTGATTGCTTGTCAGATTATTGTTCACCCTGTCTTCCGATGCTTGGGTATTTTGCGCCTTTTATTTGGTGTTTTTTTTTAAAGATTATTTTCTTTGAGATGGCTGATTTTGTGGTTCCTTTCAGTTCAAAACAATTAATTTTAAGGCAATAACAGACGTATAACATAGATATTTACAAATCGTTCCTACAAGAATAGAGTTCTATCTAAATTAAACCTCCATTTGGTGCTATACGATGCAAAAATAAGGGTCAGTACATTTGTTAAGATGGCCAGGATT